TCTGTTTTAGCTGTTTTAGCTTGTTTGTTTTGTTTTGTTTTATTTTGTTTTCTCTTCTTCAAGGTCTGTGGTTCTAGATCTTCTAGATCTCACCTGGCTATGTGTTGCAACAGACAGCCTCCTACCTAAGGCTGCTGAAACACTGAGGCATCAGACACAGGACCAGCTGGATGACAACATAGCAAACCTCATGAGACAAGACCCAAGTCAGAGCTACAGTCACAAAGAATTAGCAAAGATCACCGGCTCCTTAAGCCACACACTCATCGCCACCCTCAAGCTGAGCGACAGGCACGCCGCCCATCTCCAGCAGGAGCTAACACGCGCACAACGACGCATCAAGCAGCTAGAACTGGAGGCTCAGGAACGAAGGGAAGGGTCTGATGAAGTGGAACAAGGCGCTGAGGAGGAGATCAGTAGGCTAAAAGAGACCCTAGCAGCTACTACCCAAGAAATGGAACAAGGCAAGGCTGACTACGCTGATCTCTCCAACAAGCTACAATATCAAGAACAGCTCCTGGAAAAGGCAAAGGCCGAATTCAGAGACAAGAACGGCCGAATTAAAGCCCTTGAAACTCACCTGGATGAGTCAAGAAATGAGATCAGCCGCCTAACACAACAGTTGGACTACATCAAAGAGAAGTCCGACAGCATCAGAGAGGAACTCAGACATGCCTACGAGCTGCGCCCTGAGCCTACAAGCACCCGACGGGCACCAGTCTCACCCCTGCCTAGCAGGACCGGGTCACCTGTTCCTCGACTGACACATGAGCAAAAGGGGGAGGGGGCAGTGCTGAAACATTCACCGACTCCCTCTGAAGAACCTTACCTCACGACAAAGCTAAAAGAACTTGCTCCAGCCAGCCACAGATCATCGCATGGCTTGGACCTCAAAGACCTCGACAAGCTCGCCAGAAACATTGGCAAATTCACCCCAAGTGTGCCAGGTAGCCAGGATGTCCAAGCTTATCTGCAAGACGTCGATTTCCATCTGGAAATGAGGCTCAATGTCACGGACAAAGATAGACTCTATTTGCTCCGAACAACAGCCAGCCCTGACGTACGCAGTTTCCTGGACAGGCAGCCTGCTCACACAAAGGCTGACTACCACCTCCTCCGAGAGGCCCTCATTAAAGAATTCGCCGACCCTGAGTCAGAACAAGGACTAGTGGCTGCCCTGGAGACGAGACAAGGACGTCATGAATCTCCTCAAGCCTACTACAGCCGACTCAGACGAGCATACTTCGGAACTCGCAACGAACCGAACATGGAAGATGATCTAAACTTCAAAACTCTCTTCCTGAGAAACCTCCATCCTGGAGTAAGCCACCATCTGGGCGTTCTCGCATGTCCGCGAACAATGAATGCTCAACAGTTGCGTGACTTGGCACAGAAAGCCTACGGCAAACAGAAGATGGCCTCAGAAAAGGGCGCCAAAACCCCAACAGTTCTTGACTTCAACACTCAAAGTCAAGGTCTGGCTCTAGAGGGCGCCCAACATCAAGACCATGCCAAGCCGCCTTTCCCCACAGAGACTACAAATTAGGAGCACGCCCACCAGAGAATCACAGTAACCGAGAACTACACTCACCTGTCCCTTACACACCCACTGTCAAACCACAAGTGACATTGCACGCTTACACCCCTGTTTTGCCTTGTTTGTTTTGTTTCCTCTTCTTCCTCTTCTTCAAGGTCTGTGTCAGTCTAGGTTCTAAGATCTCCCTCACCACGCCAAAACACAACAGACCCAACAGACCCTGTTGGCCACTGGGAAGACCTCGAAACCTGGCTAAGTGTTGCAACAGACAGCCTCCTACCTAAGGCTGCTGAAACACTGAGGCATCAGACACAAGACCAACTGGATCACAACATAGCAATCCTCATGAAACAAGACCCAAGTCAGAGCTACAATCACAAAGAATTAGCAAAGATCACCAGCTCCTTAAGCCACACACTCATCGCCACCCTCAAGCTGAGCGACAGGCACGCCGCCCATCTCCAGCAGGAGCTAACACGCGCACAACGACGCGTCGAGCAGCTAGAACTGGAGGCTCAGGAACGACAGGAAGGGCATGATGAAGTGGAACAAGGCGCCGAGGAAGAGATCACTAGGCTAAAAGAAACCCTAGCAGCCGCTATCCAAGAAATGGAACGAGGCAAGGCTGACCACGCTGATCTCTCCAGCAAGCTACAATATGCCGAACAGCTCCTGGAAAAGGCAAAGGCCGACTTCAGAGACAAGAACGGCCGAATTAAAGCCCTTGAAACTCACCTGGATGAGTCAAGAAACGAGATCAGTCGCCTAACACTACAGCTGGACTACATCAAAGAGAAGTCCGACAGCATCAGAGAGGAACTCAGACATGCCTACGAGCTGCACCCTGAGCCTACATGGACACGACGGGCACCAGTCTCACCCCTGCCGAGCAGGACCAGGTCACCTGTTCCTGGACTGACGCGTGAGGAAAAGGGGGAGGGGGCAGTGCTGAAACATTCACCAGCTCCCTCTGAAGAACTTTACCTCACGACAAAGATAAAAGAACTTGCTCCAGCCAGCCACAGATCATCGCATGGCTTGGACCTCAAAGACCTCAACAAGCTCGCTAGAAACATTGTCAAATTCACCCCAAGTGTGCCAGGTAGCCAGGATGTCCAAGCTTATCTGCAAGACGTCGATTTCCATCTGGAAATGAGACCCAATGTCACTGACAAAGATAGACTCTATTTGCTCCGAACAACATCCAGCCCTGAAGCGCGCAGCTTCCTGGACCGGCAGCCTGCTCACACAAAAACTGATTACTACCTGCTCCGAGAAGCCCTTATTAAAGAATTCGCTGACCCTGAGTCAAAACAAGGACTAGTGGCTCACAGTGTGCGCATCCCGACAAGCCCAAATGCACCACCCACATTTGCGTGACAGTACAAGACTCCAATAGCGTCATATGAGCCAGTGCAAGAAATCATAGAAACCAGCTGACAACAGCAGGAGCAAAGATCGCCCTCCACAAAGGACAATGGTGCAAAACCAAAGTGAACTATGTCGGCCTGCTCGTCGGACGAGACGGCATCGAACCACAGTCCAGTCGCACCCAAGCAATCCAAAACATAAAGATACCCACTAACATTTCTGAGCTACGAAGCTTTCTGGGAGTGTGAAATTATTCAAGACAGTTCATTGAAAACTACGCTGACATCGTACGACCACTAACATCCCTCCTGAGAAAAGACGAACCCTTCGTTTGGTCGGAAGCCCAGGACACAGCCATGAGTCTCAGAAGGTTATCATTGAAACATGTCACCAGCCAGTAACCTTCCTCAACAGCCAACAAATCAGGGATGGGGTGGTAACCAACGCACGCATAGCTACTTGGCTAATGATGCTCCAAGGTCGGGACGTCGAGGCAAAATATGCCCAAAACCACAGATCATCTCTAGGAAACGGGCTAGCAGCCTGCCAGAACTGTTCAACGGACACGCTGCACACAGCAGCAGAACCCAAAGAACCGTTCCCGCCACAACTGACAAACCACAGGTACTTCGAGGAGAATGTGTGTGAAGGGATGCCCACAGCATATGTCGATGGCTGCTCCTGATACAGCATTAGAAGCTATCGCTCGCCTTCCACCCCCTACAGCGCCCCTCATTTGGTCTTGGTCTGCCGCTGACACAGCACTTTGCGTTTCTACTATTGTAGGATATGTTGTGACTCTGATACTTGCCTTCCTCCTCCACAAGTGAGTGAACGCCGTCCAAGAATCTTTCAACAAGTGCACGTCCGGCGTCCCGCGCATGTTCCGACTTGATAAAACTGACCAAGAACCTGAACCCGAACCTGAGAACTTGCCCGCTGACGTTCGCAATGGGAACCTCACCGAGCAAAAGGGGGATATATGTAGGATTCCTATCACGAACAGACACCGATATGCCATTGAATTAACCATCATGAGGTCTAAACTAATCACCCCCATCACATGACTCCAATATTCTGGGTTGACTTCCTGTCAGTCTTGTCATCATCTACTCCGAGGAGTGATGAAAAACTAATCCAATCAGGAGATAACACAGAGATCTTTTGTATCAGGACTATAACCTATAGATACCTTGTGGTGTCTTGTGATCGCCAATGAATGGAACTATCATATCCAACAGGAAAAGGACGAGTAATTTAATCACACCCTCAGGCCTGCAAACACGGGATCTATACGTGACTATCACATGACCCATTGAACATCTGCTTGTGCGTGTTGTACGACACTTTATAGAAGTATTAACAAAATCTTCGCAGAGATATTTCCCCACATGATAAATTGAAGCATCAAGTTAATGTATGCACGCTCCGCCTTGCAACAAGTCGATTGGAAGATCGCGTCGTGGGGCGGACCAAAATCAGCCTGCTTAAAACGGACACAAAGCCCTCGTGGCTCGCTCGCTTGCTCTCTCTCTCTCTAGACCTTTGGCTTTTCGCCTTGGTGACCGCGCTACAAAGCTCTCACATGCGGTAACATCACACGAGCGAGACTCCAGAACTCAAACACTTCCGTTGAAACTTCGTGACTGCCAGAGATCTTCAAAAGCCTAAAGTCTTGCAAACTCAGACTCTTTCAGAAGAACTACCAAAGCCTCTGCGTCACCAGGAAACCCCATTCATCAGGAAGGCATCCCCAGAAACTACGTCATCCAGACGCCAGATCAGCAACCAATCAAATACGCTGGGATTCCCTCAAGCAGCCAACAAGCTCAATTCAGCTGTCAGCAAAACGCAAGTAACAGGCAAAATCTTTTCATCTCTTGCTGAACTGGTGAATTGAGTTTAAGCAGTAAAAGTAAGATAAATCTCTGCTTTGTGATTCTCTCAGGTTGCAATTTAAAGAACTCGTATGTGTGTGTGTGTGTGTGTGTGTGTGTATGTGTGTGTGTGTGTTTTCATTAGTTTAGTTTAAAGTAATCTAGAATAGCCAATAAACTGTTGTTTTATTATAAGAATTATTGTCTTGTGTCGTGAAATTTTTGAAGTTAAACCCTGCCCAGATCTAGTTACCTAGCTCGTATCCTATAAATTATCACAAGCATGTATTAACCTGTGATATTACAAATATTCAAATTGGTAAAATATACTGAGGTTAACGTCTCGCTGGACGACCGTTGATAAAGTGTAAACTATCAATTTTGGAATCAGTTCAATCAGGTTGATTTTGAATCTTAAGATTCGATTCCCCCCCTCTGAAAACCTGAGCTAAAATAAAAGTTAATTTTCCCTTTTTCCTTACATCATCATTATGGTTGTCCTTTCCATATCGTTTACATTTGTTGTTTGCCGTCTTAGTCTTTGACAAAGACAGTGCATTTACTGTCAGTGATCCGCTGAGTTGGTGCGCTTCGCCAGCTCCACCGCTCTTTGAAACGTCAACGTAGTTTCAGTCAACAAGCACTTTTGTGTAGCCTCACTCTTCAAGCTACACACAAATCTATCGCGATGTGCATCATCCAAATGAAAATATTTTTCTCTACAAAAGGGGGCAGGCAGAAAAATTTGGGAACCACTGGCCAACTCAAACACACAATATTTAATTTACTTTAATTCATACAGGCCTACCTCATGTTGCACGTTTGCACTTTTTGAGAAAAGTGGCACAATAAAAAAATACTTTTCAGGTCTATGTCCAATCCCTCACTTTTTCTAGCTATATAAGGTTAAAATATTTTGCTTGTATTTTTTTTTCTTATATCGCAATATAATATCGATATCGCCTGGACAGAGTAAAATATCGAGATATGAATTTTAGCTCATATCACCCACCCTAGCACTGAGAAATAAAGAAATAGTCTACCTCTACGCTATGCTTAAAAAGACACGTTCAGCTTGCGGGTTAATGTGGTTATTTCTGCTGTGATACTTCAATATGACAATCTTTCATCACATTATCACTTCACTGGCTAGGCTTCACTTATTTTAGTTTGTTTTCTTTGCAGCACATTTGGTTTAGACATTTGCTGCACAAATACTTGAAGAGCCTGACTGTCTGGTTAGTTAGTGCCGTCCTGTTTTATTGTCTCTTATATAAAAAAAATAGACCTTTATTACTGAGCACATGTAAAGGTGGCAAGGTGTAGATCATCTGTATAGAAATGAAGGCTACAGTCACTGTGTTCCTTTTTTTTTGAGTCTCTTTTGACTGAACTTCAGTCTCTACAGAAAACACTTCCTTGTGAAAGAATGAATGACCTGGAAAAATGCACAGAAATACTGCAGAGAGCACCATGATTACCTGATGTGATGAAGTAGATATGGCCGCTGGGTACAGCGCGCGCACACACACACACGCACACACACACACACACACACACACGCGCGCGCATACTCACCACCTCCCTCCCCCTCTGATTGGTTGCCATCCGAGCGGGTGCACACTCCATCTTGACAGCCCATGGAGTTTCACACATTACCCTGTTCCAGATTCATCCCGATCATACATGCATTGTCTCATTTCTGTTGCAAGTTCCATGTTTGTTTAATGTTCGTCACGAGTGTTTGGCGTGATCAGTCTTGATGGTGGCGCTGGCGAAACAGAGCAATTGAGCGTCAACAGCTTACCGCCGGCGCTCTGTGCTCAAAATCGGGCAAAACCATTGTTAAATAGGTTAAAGACTGACAAATGTAAAAGGAAAACCACAGTCATTTATATCATTGATTTTATTTTGTGTTTATTATGTTGAAATGAGGTTTTGTGTTTGTAAAATATGGCTATTGTATATACAGTGAACAGTACAATACAGTACACCCCCTCTGATTAAATATAAAAGATGTATTTTCTTAATGATCACTAATATAATTCATAGAAAGATGGCAAAATTGAAATGTATTAAACATATTCTTAATAAAAACAAATACATGCCATTAATAGCTGTAAAATATAAGAAATACATGTCCACTGAAGGATTTTCACCTTGGGAGAATGAATATCTTCATTGTCATGTAAAAAAAATGCCCAACAATGCAGGGAATGAGAAGAGGGTAGTATCTTCACTTTCAGGATTTTGTATTACATCACACAGTGGTGTGTGAGTTCATGCCAGCATTGATAAAGTACAACTCCCTCACACCTTCAGCACTCATTCATCCCTATAGAAGAGCTTTACTACCACTGAATGCCACTGTGGGAACCAGGCACTTCTCTCTGTACTCCTCCTCTAGCAACACCAGAACATTTTGGATGCTGTTAGATCCAAAATGTTTGAATTGGTCTCATGAGACCAGAGTATGGTTTCCCAGAAGTCTATATCTTGTAAATATGGGCCTTGGAAAAAGCTAAATGAGTTTATTGTGCTTTTTTGAATATCTGTGTTACTTTGGCTATATTTTCACACTTAAAACAATAATTTGGTATTCCTCTTGTACCATTGTCCTCTTTTATGCTAAGAAATAAATCTCTTGACAGTTCTCTCTCAAGTGGTTTCATTGTTGTCAGCATTAAGTCTGAGTGAGGAGGTTTGGCGTCACGGCATCTTTGTGTCCAGGCGGAAAGTTAAAGAACGCGACACACACGTCTCCCGGAAATCCTGTATAATTCAACCAATCCGATGACGACTTCGAAACTCCTGAAGTGTTTCCACTTTTGTGTGCCATATGCATCAGACGTTTAGCCAACGGTCCGTGGGCGTGACGTCTGAGGCAGAGACTACTCCTGCGGTTGCAGCCTTTGCTGTTGTTGTTGCTGCTGACACTGCTGGAGGTGATCTGAGACTACAGACATTAAAACAAACATAGGAGATATATTAGCTGATTAAACAATTGTTATGTGACCATGACAAGATGTAAAGATTGATGACAGTGTTTGGAATTGGCTCACTGTGACTGACCTGCTGTAGTGCTGCAGCTGACTGCTAAGAAAAAATGAGAGGGAGATGCTCAGAAAGGCC